CTTCTCCTAATCACCCAAAACCATTAGAACCAAGCTTTTGGCCCTAGCATCCCCAAATCATAGTGTTCGGGTTGGGTTGAATTGATTAGGAGTTCAACTCCACCAATCATTTGAAAAAACTCCCCCTCTCCAATAATTCCTTCATGTTAAAAAAAAAAAAAAAAATCATCCAAAACCATTAATTGGACATTCCAAAGTGTAACGGGGGGATGAAAGGAGAAGTCAGTACCAACATAATGTCACACCTTGCGGCAGAATATTACCCCACATGTTAGTACTTTTCCTAAGGAACCTGAGCCCAAGCAGCAGCCCACACGTGAATGGTTTGGGGCTTTGTGGTAAATGGGGCCCAACAAAAGTTTTTATGAGGATGAGTCTGCATCAGATGGCTATTATTATTCCGCATGGTAGATGTGAGCGGTACCGATGTTTTGCCCTCAGAAAAAGAGTTTAACTTTAATAGTTGAGATTACTATCAAGGAAAATAAAGATTTTTTTTTTTTAACAAAGAAAAAAAAAAGGATGCCTCAGGGAAACAGGCCTCCAAATGAATGCAAATGGGATCCTTCAAGTAAAACGAAGAAAATTTTATAGGTACTGTGAAATTAAAAAAAAAAAAATTCATGAAATTAGATGGAAAAACCAGGAGGTAAGAAATTGCATATCTTCTCTTTTTTGCTTTTTCAGGGTCAATAATTGCAGGCAATTGGGCCTTCAATAATTGACTTTCTTTTTCCTTGCAGATGGGACCTCCAACTCCAGATAAAGTGAGGATAATTCTACTTGCTAAGTGGGAATACAAGAAAATAGTAGATAGAGAAACAAAGAAGAACAAAAAATGGAAAGAAGCAAACACCTTCGCAGCTTCGCTTTTTTCCATGGAAAAAAATTAGAGCCCAGATATGAACACGGGAATGCCCAGTGTACCTGTATTCCCACACCCCTTCATTGGGAAGTTTTGAGCTGTAAAACAACTTGGAACAAGAGACAAAAATCGAAGAAATTTTAGGGGTTAATTAATTAAAAATTTTGATAGGACTAAATGAATAAATAACCCATTATATTTTGATGATTCTGAAAACTTTTTTTTTTTTATTAGAATAAGTGGTTCAGGGAAGGAGGTGAAGAGGGAATCGAAGTTTTGTTATGGTAAAAAGGACTTATGTTAAGTTGTTGGTCAGCCAGCCTTCGTCATGATTCTGAAAACTTTTAAAAATTCCATCCCTCTATAGATTTTGGGCGCAATGACAGTAAGGGCTCATTGAATTGATGGAATGGCTCTATACTTAGTGACACCTCACATATTGGATGCCATCAATGAAATAATATTAGTTGGTGGTTCCTTAAAGATGTACATTTCTCTATTGATATTATTAATATTTAAATAATATTAAAATTAAGATTTATTATTAAAAAGTATAATAAATAAAAAATAATTATTTTCCTGTTTATAAAAAAACACCGAATGAATGCAAATGAGACCTTCCAAGCAAAACGAAGAAAATTTTACAGGTACCACGAAATTAAAAAATTTATGATCAAGAAAAAAAAACTCATGAAATTAGATGGAAAAAACCAGGAGGTAAGAGATTGCATATCTTCTCCTTTTAGCTTTTTCAGGGTCAATAATTGCAGGCAATGGGGTCTTCAACAATTGTCTTTCTTTTTCCTTTGCAAATGAGACCTCCAATTAAAATAGTCAATATCGTATCGGTATGCGTATCAATTTTGTTATTGAAACGGCATGTATCGGATACTGAAATCTTTCGTATACCGTTTTGGATTTATCGCTATAAATATATATTTTTATAAATTAAATATCAAATTTTAAAATAAGATAAGAGATACTAATATTTAAAACTATAATATTCTTATAAA